ACAGAACAAATGATTCTAATGAATTGGTTCTTAGTGAATCAAAACCATACATCTCAACAAGTAGTTCAATTACAGAAACAATTACTCCTATGAGTCAGCTCAGTTTAGTGAATCAAAATCACATAGTATTTCCTGAAAAAAATAAAAATAAAATAAGAAGAAGAAGAAAAGAAGAAAAAAAACCACGGTTTTCTAGTTAGAGAAATTATGACCCTTATGAGTCAGTTCTTCTCAGTGAATTAAAATTATACAGCAGGACCATTATATTCAGACTCCTGAACTAATAACTCCCATATGTATGTTCGTATCAGTTAATCAAAATCATACAACAACAACCACCAGTGTAGTCCAATTACAGAACAAATAACTCTCAAAATGAATCTGTTCTTTTCTTGGAAAAAAAACTCCTATGAGTCAGTTCTTCTCAGTGAATCTAAATCTTACAGCGCAACCAGATTAGTCAGACTCCCAAACAAATTACTCTTATGATCTGATTATTTTCAGTGACTTAGAATCATATACAGTACAACTGGATTAATTAGATTCCCGAACAAATGACTCTTATGAATGAATAACTTGTATCCTTAACTAATCTAGTGTACTGGTTTAAATGAAAACTTTCAGCTAAATATAAATATTTAATATATTGTCAGTAGAATTTTGTAAACATCAGTGAATGAAATACATTACCACATACTGTATAGTATTTTGTTTGTTTAATATTGTTGTTCATAGCTAAGGCCAATTATTGAACTGTATTAATGTTGCCACTAAAAGAATGTCAATTTAATTGTTGTAAATTTACTTGTTATTGACATCACCATTTGGAAATAAAATTTATTTTTATTTCTTAAAAGTACTAAAATCATGATAAATGGAATTGTTATACAACTGGAATAATTTATTATCCCTAGCACTCATCTTCATCAAGTGGGCAGATCTGAAGAAAACCTGTCCAATGGTGCTGAGGAAACATGACACTCACACACTTGGCTCAGTTCCTGAGGGATGTAGGTGTAGACAATTGATGGCTGCTCAGCCATTTCTTCATAAACTCTACTATCTTCACATTAACCTTCACCTCACTGAGCCAATGTTAAAAGCTGTCAGTGTCACCCTGTATTATTCCAACTCATGAAACCGTCTCAGGTTACGTATGTAACCCTGGTTCCTCGAGGGACCGAGACGCTGTGTCGGAAAACGCTAGGGGAAAGCCTTCCGTGACCACGCTCTGAATCACATGTGAAATCAATCCAATAGCTGACCAGGAAGCTATAAAAGCATGTCCGGCGGAGCCAGCGTCAGCTTCTAGGAATGAAGCAAGCGCTGGCAGAGACGCCAGAATTATGACACCGAGACGCAGCGTCTCGTTCCCTTGAGGAACCAGGGTTACATACATAACCTGAGACGTTCCTCTTCAGGAACTCGAGCTGCATCGGAAAACGCTAGAGGAACGAGAATGCCCACGCCGCCAGACTTCCAAGTCTCTCCCTAGTGTGGAAGACTCGCCGGGCGGTAACTGACAGATATGCTCGCTGCAGACCGCTGCACCCTGGAACACCGGCAGGGTTGGCAGAATGATCTCCCGAGGGCACTGGGGGGAGACGGGCACCGTGTAATGCGGTGTGAACCTCTCTGCCCCAGAAGGGCCTGCCCTCGCTAGTCCTACACTCAAATAGTCAGGACCTTTTGGTTGAGGACCTCTTAGCCTGAAGGACAGTCCGCAGATCCTGATTAGGCTTCGAGGCCCCCAACCCAGAGCGCTGCTTCTGCCTCCTGTCCCGACGCGGGGGAACACGGGCGGCAACGCTCTGTTTTTGCATCTCCCTATGTGAGGAGCTGGTACGCGGTGGGGACTGCTGCCACCCGGCAGCCCCTGGAGCTGAAATACGGCGAGGGAGGAACCGCTGAAATGCCGCCGCTTGTTTACGAGCCTCCTGGTCCCTGTCGACGACTGAATTGACAGAGTCGCCGAACAGACCAGAAGGCGTAAGCGGGGCGTCGAGGAGGAAGACCCTGTCTTTCTCTTTCATATCAGACAGGGTCAACCACAAATGCATCTCTGCTGCCACCATAGCTGCCATGGACCGCCCAATGGCGGTCTCTTTGGTGGCACGGAGAGAGAGATCAGCGGTTCTCCTTAACTCTGCAATATTATCAGAGCTAAGCTCCTTGCCCTCATCCAGCTCTTTAAGCAGATCGGCCTGGTACGCCTGTAACACAGACATCGTGTGCAGACACGCACCAGCCTGACCCGCTGCCGCGTACCCCTTGCCCACCAGCACTGATGTTGTACGCAGCGGCTTGGAGGGCAGTGCCGGAGCCTTTAAAGACGATGCCATGCCTGGGGACAGATGGATAGCTAGCGTATGTTCAACCTGGGGCATCGCCTTATAGCCACGCTCAGTCAGCCCTGCCACATTACCATAATAATCTGAGGCAGGGATGAAGAGGCGGGCTGAAAAAGGCCTGGCCCACGACCTTGACACCTCGGTGTGAAGGTCGGGGAAAAATGGCAGGCTCCGGCACGGAGGTGACGGCTTCACGCGCAGGAAGCATTCATCCAATCTGCTTCGCTGCAGCTCGGCCTGCTTCTTGGCGGGTCAATCGATTTTTTATTTAGCCACAGCATGAGTAAGCACCTCGAATAGCTGCGCATATTGGGGCGATTGAGGGGGCGAAACCTCTTCAACGTCCTCCACGTCAACCTCCTCGGAGGAAGACAGGAGGAGCGTCGAGCCGTCACCCCGGGAGGAAGTAGTTGCAGAACGGGCTTCCGAACACAGAGATCAGGCGCTGGATCTGGTGGGTGCGGAAGGAGATAGGGACTCGCCCGTCTCCATTCCCTCCGCCAGATCCAACTGCGAACCCCATGAATGCAGTCGCCGCTCCGACTCGACGGAAGCGGGGCCAACACCGCGGGGAACGCTGGCGAAGGCTCCCTCCTCAAAGAGCGCCCTCCGGGAGCAAAGCGTACGCAGAGGGAGGCGCTCGCAATGCGGGCAGCCGGCCCCCTCAAGAGCCGACTCTGCGTGCCTCGCTTCCAAGCAAACCACGCACAGGCTGTGTGTATCCCCACTCATGATGTAATGTGGGCAGGGAGGAACACACAACCTATAACGTGGCTTGCACTTGCCCTTTGCATGCTTTGTCTTAGCATGAGCTTTAGACATAGCTGCTTATAGACTTTTCTCTCACAATAGACAGACAACAATAAATATGACTGACACACATAGAGCGCTTCGCTGAATGACAGAAAGCTGACGCGGGCTCCGCCGCACGTGCTTTTATAGCTTCCTGGTCATGACGTCACCCGCCCGTGATGTCCCAGTCAGCTATTGGACTGATTTCACATGTGATTCAGAGCATGGTCACAGAAGGCGTTCCCCTAGCGTTTTCCGACGCAGCTCGAGTTCCTGAAGAGGAATCTGCAGTTTCATCTAAGCCGACAAAGTAGGCCAGTATGGAGTCAAAACAATGCCACACATACTTGCAAAAAAATTGAAGTATTGCAAAAGAAAATAAACTTTTGCTAATTAAAATTTAAGTATAGAGAAAAAAATAAATGTACTTTTTGCAAACAAAAATAAAGAATTGCAAAAGAAAATTAAGTATTGCGAGAAAAAATAAGGTTTGCAAACAAAAATTAAAAAAAAATTGCAAAATATAAATGAAACAGAATAAAAGAAATGATTTTGCACCTCATAATTTCCTCGGCCATATCTACTAAGGCTGCATTTACACTTACAATTTATCACCATGATCTGATCAAGCAGATCGGATCATCAGTCAATCAGGACACGGCGTGTTTACACATGGCAACATCAGCTGACTTCTCGATCTGGATAACCGATCGGATCTGTATTTCCTGCACAATATTTAGTCTGCGGTGTAAAGTCAACCTGAAGTGGTGGGTTTTCTTTTGAAAACTATTTTCAGTTGTGGTACATTTTACAAATCAAAATAAATGTACGAGTCTCACTAGCACTCTGTTCTTCCGACAGATTGGGAGAGAGGGGGCGGTGTTTTGTGTGATGTCGAAATTGCGAATGCAGACACGATGGCTGGATTGCGTTTACTTTACACTGAGATCCGACAATGCATCCTCGACTACCTCTGGACAAGGACACGCTGATCGGAAAACATTCCGATCAGAAGCGCGTTTACACTTGTCTTTTCAATGTGTATGTGAACAACATCCGGATACAGGTCACATGTTAATGCCAAATGTAAACGCAGCCTAATTTATTTGCATCGTTGTTTCATTTATATTTTGCAAATCTTTATTTTTGTTTACAAAAAGCACATTTATTTACTTTTTCCTCAATACTTTAATTTTCGTTTGCAATACTTAATTTATTTTGCAAGTAGGCTATATGTGGCATTGATTTGACTCCATAGGACAGTCTTCACAGAACCAAATGGGCAAAATAATTGATTATGCCTCTGTTGACGTATATAAGCCTGAGAGGAATCTCTGGAATTTTTCCAGAGTCCCAGAATAAAAGGTACTCCAAATGATTATCATAAGAAAGTGTTAGCTGTCTAAAACCTTGTTTATGAAGACAATGAAATAAACAGAGACAAAAAAGGCCTCTGGATTCTTGTGTTTGTCTGTAGTTGACAGTCAACATAATTACACTCTTATTAGCAGGATGGATGAAACGGGTCAGCTTTTAATTTGCAAGCCAACTCAATTTTCTGACAAAAACATGCTGTTCGGAGAAACATGGATATTTTTTCTGATTAGTCACCTGCACTATTTACTCGCTTCCAAGAAAATATGATTACAAGAACATGGTGACATTGCACATTTCATTTGGAATCCAAAAACATGATGCACCGCCATTGTCTCTGGTTAAAACAGCAGTCTTCCGAGAAACCATTTGCTCAACAAACCATACAAAACACAACAGCTCAGTTTGTTTCAGATAATCACCTGTGTTTTAACCACAATTCCCACACCTATACACAGATCGAAACAAAAATAGGGCTCTTACCTTCCCCACATACTGGGCATCCGGCCCAATGTGCTCTTCCAAAACGAAGAACTGATTCCAGATCCAGCCTCGCTTAGGGCGATGGTGCGAGTCCTTGTTGCCGTCGGGCAGTTTGGTCTGGTTGTGGATGAATGTGGGGCTGGGCGCAGAAGGGGTCCCATAGCTCCTCTGGAGCACACACAGGCACAGCAGCAGAGGGGACAGACAGGCAGGGCTGCTGGCTGCTCTCATGTTAAAGAGTTGCAAAGTTTGAACTCCCGCTCTCGCTCACCCAGAGGTCTCTCTCTTGCGGTGGGCAGCTCTAGATGCCGATCGGGCCAGTTCGCAGGGCTTGGCTGATGGCCATGGTTTAAAATCCTGTTGTCGCAGAGACTCGTCGGGCAGCACTCACATTGTGGGCTGAGAGCGAGACATGTTGATTCGTTGGGGAGCCGGCGTCCACTGGAGACTCACTGGAGGCGATGGCAGATATCCAAGAAACATCTGTTTGAAAGAAAGAGGACAAACTGTACTTTCATTGGGGCGAAATGAAACAAAGCCTGCGATCACATTTTAATTCCACTGAAAAGTTGGGATTAGCTGTTACCTGTGAAGATCTAAGATATGAAAATTGGTCTAAAAGCCCATTGTGATCTTGCTGTTTGCTGTTCGGCGAAACATCTAATACATTTTTGATGGAACAGCTGTTCTAGTATAATAGCAGGGATCATGAATGCTGGTGCAAGAGATGTGTAATGAGAGCTCCAGCATGGCGAGTCTATTCAAATGGCCAAATAGCATTCCAAGGATCAATGCATGTCCCTGGTTACCTAGGAAAAGAAGCTGATAACTCTTGACTCCTCTGCCTCCCTGTCAATTCAGATTTGTCACTTGATGAGGAGAAACTACCTCATACTCTTCATTCCTCGATGGTGTGAGGGTTACTGACATGAACGAGTGAAATACCTAGTGCTTTAGGGTTTGTCTTTCTCAAAACTAATGGAAATTGCGATGTGGGAATTCTAAAAAAAGAAGAGGACAAATAAACAAATGACAGTGGAAACGCTACAGGGTGGGCATTTCCTGTCACCTTAGCAACATCTGAACATTTCATTTCCAAGACATGTTTGAAATAGTCACAGTAATGCTGAAGCCATGTCCCAAGCGTCTAACATTATATGACCGGAATAAATATTTCATGGTGCAACACAAAACTGACTTTGAGATATTTGAGAGACTCACTTTTGTTTGTAAGGGAAGATGGCATGTGTGACATGTGAATGCAACTTTAATCTCCCAAGAAAACCTCACAGTTTTTTTTTGGTTGTTTTTTTGTTTTTTTATTGAAGGAATTTTGCAGAAAATGCATTTGAAGCCAATATTCAGCATTTCTAGAGCTGCATTTGTTATGTGTATTCATTAATGTACATAGGTCAATAATTCAGTAGCCGGAATAGAAGCAGTCGGAATTAATGAATGAATCTAAGACACTGCAATATGAGTCTCAATGCATTTCATTAAAAGTGATTGTTGTTATATAATCTTAATGAAAGAGCCACTGTTATAAATGATGAGAGAATAATTTTACACCACCAACACAATAATAAGAGCTTTATAACTATTATTCTCTTGTCTACTATTGTTCTAGCTTTACTACAAGAGAATAAAAAACAGTTATGTTAGGTTTAGCAGTCATTTGTAGGTTCTTCAAGACTGAAGAGGGAGTCTATGCGTTGGTTTACAAGTCAAAACATAATTTTTCATATAACGCAATTGCTGCAAACATTACTGTTGGGTTAACTGTATATTTAAACTATTGTTATAAAAAATCAGAACAAGAGTCTAAACGCATCATGATGTGTTACTGTGGAAACAGTGGTGCATATTAGAAACACAAATGTCATGACATGTTGAATACTTATTACTAAGAGCAAAATATTTAAATTTTTTCATTGTCTGTCTCATTCATGCATTGCACGTAAAAGTCTTTTTCAATTGCTTTCCTTTTCTTGTTGGCAACAGACGGCCTGTATGAACATTAATGAAGAAGAAGAATCGAGAATTTAAGTGAGAAGTTATTATTTCAGTGGTAACACTTTCAATGAAGCCCATTTTTATAACACATTATAAGGGTATTCTTAAGGCATAATAATGAATGCATACTGTATTATAAAAAAATGATATATGCATCTCAATAAATTAGAATGTCATGGAAAAGTTCATTTATTTCAGTACTTCAACTCAAATTGTGAAACTCGTGTATTAAATTAATTAAATGCACACAGAATGAAGTACCGTATTGTCCCGAATATAAGACAATGTTTTTTTCTTGGAAATACATCTGAAAAAACACGGTCGTCTTATATTCAGGGTCTAGACTTTGACATGTCAATAATACACCCACAACACTAGGTGGCGCCTGGTATATATTTTAAATGTGATTGTTGGTACATTTTAACAGTTTTTACCATACTTTCAAAACAAAAATTAAAATAGGAAAAATATGCAATATGAAAATAATTGAAGACTAAATGTGTTTTACTGAGAAAAAACAAGATTTGTTTTTTTAAAAGCCTTTTTCCAAAAGGTACATCTGGAAAAAGGGGGGCCGATTTTTAATCAGGGTCATCTTATATTCGGGCCAATACTGTAGTTTAAGTCTTTGGTTCTTTTAATTGTGATGATTTTGGCTCACAAAAAACACAATGGACCAACAGCAGCAGATGACATTGCACCCCAAATCATCACAGACTGTGGAAACTTAACACTGGACTTCAAGCAACTTGGGCTATGAGCTTCTCCACCCTTCCTCCAGACTGTACAACCTTGGTTTCCAAATGAAATACAAAACTTGCTCTCATCTGAAAAGAGGACTTTGGACCACTGGGCAACAGTCCAGTTCTTCTTCTCCTTAGCCCAGGTAAGACGCCTCTGACGTTGTCTGTGGTTCAGGAGTGGCTTAACAAGAGGAATACGACAACTGTAGCCAAATTCCTTGACACGTCTGTGTGTGGTGGCTCTTGATGCCTTGACCCCAGCCTCAGTCCATTCCTTGTGAAGTTCACTCAAATTCTTGAATTGATTTTGCTTGACAATCCTCATAAGGCTGTGGTTCTCTCGGTTGGTTGTGCATCTTTTTCTTTCACACTTTTTCCTTCCACTCAACTTTGTTAACATGCTTGGATACAGCACTCTGTGAACAGCCCGCTTCTTTGGCAATGAATGTTTGTGGGTTACCCTCCTTGTGAAGGGTGTCAATGATTGTCTTCTGGACAACTGTCAGATCAGCTGTCTTCCCCATGATTGTGTAGCCTAGTGAACCAAACTGAGAGACCATTTTGAAGGCTCAGGAAACCTTTGCAGGTGTTTTGAGTTGATTAGCTGATTGGCATGTCACCATATTCTAATTTGTTGAGATAGTGAATTGGTGGGTTTTTGTTAAATGTGAGCCAAAATCATCACAATTAAAAGAACCAAACACTTAAACTACTTCAGTCTGTGTGCATTGAATTTATTTAATAAACGAGTTTCACAATTTGAGTGGAATTACTGAAATAAATTAACTTTTCCACGACATTCTAATTTATTGAGATGCACCTATATATTGTGTTCATTGTGCATTAGAAATCATCATAATCTTAAAGGCTATAACCACAAATAAATAAATATTATAATGCATTAAAACTGTTGTTATGGTTACTCATGAGATGATACAACATATTATGATTTTTTTATATACATTATGCATTCATTATAATGCCTTAAGAATATTCTTATAATGTATTATAAATACGGGCTTCATATAAAGTGTTACTATTTCGGTCAGCAAAGGCATATGACAGTTCAGCTGATCTTGTGACTCAAATTATCTTATGATAAAACGAAACATTTCAATGAAAGAAGAAAAAAACAAAAACAATGAATGTGCACACAGATGGGTGAATGAATGGGAGAACAAGAAAACCACATTCCACAGTGTTTTAGTATCCCAAATTCGATGAACAGGCCATTATTGTGACTATTTAACTCACTAGCTATAGCAGGAGAATAAGTGCCACCATTGTAATCTTTCATAAACCAAGTAAAAGAAAGATTACATAACCACAATCAAAAATATTTTTTCATACCATAAACTTATTTTTATGTTTGAAATATGACTTCTTGCTCTCTATTTCCTTAGAAAAGCATTAGTGCACTGGTGCTTTTGATCCCCGAAACCACTGTACTTGTGTGTGTGTGTGTGTGTGTGTGTGTGTGTGTGTGTGATAGCTTTTTACTGTTTAAATATGAAAGAAAAAGAACAACAATACTTTTTTTCAGACTATGCAAAATAAAAGCTGAAGCCTGAGTTCCTTCGAGAGGAAATTAATATGCTAGCTTCTTATTCAGAATAATGTCCATTTACTCAATCAGAAACACAATTTATTAACTGAGTCTTGCTGAAGATTTTTCAAGAGGAGGATGGAGGGCAAAGCCTTTATTCGCTCTTTCAAGCTTATTGTGTTGCCTTGAAAATAAATTGCTTTTTGAGTGCATTTTGACTAATACTGGGCGACAGCTCCCTTTCCTTTCATGCTGTTCCAGTGTTTTATGTTATAACAGACAATTGTCAAAGTTTTCAGTTGCTGAACACTAATTTTTTTAATTTGCTATCCAAATGGCATCTGTCCATGATATTAGATGTCCTGACCAATTTTCCAAATGCGACCAGTTTTATATAATGCTCAGTTTCCAAGTTTAAGCCTTCTAAAAACAAAATATTTAATGGATTTGGGCCGTAGAGTCAAATGTAAGCAGAATACAGAAATAATCAATTCATTAGTTAAGTGAATTGAGTACAGATTCACAGAAACAGTATCATCTGGTGTTAAAGATTAAAGAAGACACGTCTTGAGCAAGAGAAAAGGGTGTTACACATACAAACAAAACACTGTTCCAGCGACACCTGAAACCACAGTAGGCCAGGAGGCAGCAATAACTCACATGCCCTTGTTCTGCACTTCAAGAGCAAAAGGGTCTTGACTGATTCTCGCAGGTTTCTCTAGGTCTTCAAAACAAATTTGTAATACTTATTAGAATTCAGTGCAGCTAATTAGGATGCTAATTGGAATGGAGTGAGGATCGGATGGAACAGTGGCTGAGAGGCATCTTTTCACAATTACATTTTTTCATGTTTGTTCCTATCGGAACATTCTGTATTGTGAGATAACGTTTAAGGACTATTTCCTGTGTGCAGTGCAAGTTAAGCTCAATCAACAGCACTTACCACAAAAAAATAAATTCTTTAAAAAAAATAAAAATAAATAAAATATCTGGGTCACAACGAGGAACTTGCAATGGAAGTCAATAGGTAAACATTAAACTACTCACTGTTTCAATTGTATTAGTAAACAATATACATCATTTTAGAGTGCTGTTCTCATTTTTCTGTGTAAAGTTATATCCAAATTCACAACTCGGTTGCCATGGCAACATAAAACCCTAAGATGACCATAACTTAATAATACACAAGTTTTAGATGCTTTTATAAAATTCTGAGTTTCACATTTCAAAAATTGGCCCCATATACCCCCTCATAAGTGCCTCACAGTAACCTATATTTTTATATCTTTATTTTAAGAAAACAAGGGACGAGTAGAAAGTATTTTTGGTATAATCAAAATTGTACCGCAAGTGCTTTCGAATGAGCTTAACTTAACTAAACCCAACCTAATATTCCTTCAATGTTAAAGTCGGCTCATGCATCAGAGACCACCTGCTCTACCTTCACCTTCGAGAGACTAAACAGTCAAATTTCCCCAGTGTTGTTAATTTAGCCCACTTTATTCAATTTAATATTTTTTCCCTCTACTTCTCATGTCTTATTCACTTCACAGCACTAAATTGCAGTTCTTTTTATAGAACTGAAGTGGTTTTGTAACCTCAAAGCTCTCCGTGCCGTTTTTACTCAATCCAGTGGCATGAGGAGAAGGTGATGCTGAATGCCCGTAACAGTATTAGTAATATCGGGGGAGGGACTCCAGTGATCAATTAATGTGCGTTTGTCACCTTAGTGTGTCCACTGCATGGAGGCATTAGCTCAAGCACAACACAACTTCCCCCAGCTATCAAATACAGGCCGGTCTAATCACTTAATCATTGTCAGACAGCCCTCAGTGTCTGATTGTTAGGCATTCTCAATTTACTCTGAATGCCTGAATGCATTTATGAGAACAATAAAGAATGGACACACACACACACACACACATTTCTATCATAACAACTCTCTGAAGACTTTAGCATGGTGATGGATATGACAAAGTTAATGTATTTGGTCTTTGCGGAATAGATCTGCTACGCTGCTGCTGCTGCTGTTGGTTATTGCTGTAGCTGTAGCTTGCCGTGAGTATTTAAGACATACTGCTGCTGCACACATAGCATATAAAATAACCCATAGCAGATCTATACAGGTGGAGCTGGGGAAGGTGGAGGGTTTCAGAGAAACTCTGAAAGCGCACTGCAGGAATCTCTAGTGAATGCTAGCCAGCCATATCAATGCAAGGTTGTAAGCTCATTGTCTGCATATGCAGCATGAACCAATCAGCTTACGTTACGTTAACAACCAGTTGCCTGTGCCATCTAGAGTTTCATGACTGAACTATATATATATATATATATATATATATATACAGTATATGTGTATGTATATATGTGTGTGTGAAAACATGCGAAAATGCTTAAATTATATATATGTACTGTGTGTGTGTGTGTATATATATAAAACAATGTTCAAGCATTTTCACATGTTTTGAAGTCCACTGTAACCATTTATTCTTTATTATCTGAATGAAAAAAACTAAAATATTTGTAAAGAATATAAGAAAGAAAGACAGGTTGTAGTCCTTTTTTCTCAAGGCAATCAAGAAACACTAAAGAATCAGACACAAGGGCTTTCAACAGCTGCACTTGCTGTGCTGTTTGTTCACTGGAAAGTGAGACAGAGCTTTGAAGATTCGCATGTGGCCACAATAAAGTGCTGGAGTAATGAAAGAGGCCCAGATCAATGGACAGACACTGCCTTCCTTCCCTCATCCCACTGCTCCGTTTTGTTTACAACCACATGTACACTAGACCAACTCTCAGACTTTCACTAAATACAGCCTCACCACAAGCCAGACAAACAGAGGCAGCACTCACGATTCAATCAGCAGATGAATAAAGATAAAAAAACACAGAGTGCCTCTTACCTTCTCAGTCTTTCCTTAAAAGATGACAAGGTTTTGGAATATGGAGGAGCGCTCCTAACGTCCCTCCACATTTTTTAAGTCACACAGAGAGTATGTGTGCAGCAGCTCAATCCAGTCCAGAACAGAACCGCTAGAGCTCCCAAATCTGCCAGCCTGCTGCAGCTCAGGAGGTGCGCTCTGATTGGCCAGCTACACACGCTGTCATATCCACACACACACACACAGAAAGCGAGCTCTGCTTTATTCCCCTCTCACATTTCCTACCCATTCGCTCTCTCTCTCTTTGTCTCGCTTTACATCTCTGACTCTACCTTGCTCACTTTATCTTTTAGTCTCTTTCTCTCTCCCCTTCCATCTGCAGCCAGGAGAGGCACACATGTTCTCAATGGTGAGCAGTGCAGGCAGTGTTTGGTTTAAGGCAATAATGTGGCTCCAGAAGGAAACCTAATTAATAATATAGAGGGAGCATGGGGGAAGCAAGAAGGATGTGAAGCCTGTGTATGCAGAGCCCCTCAAGACTAAAGGCCATTTTTTTTTCTTTCATTCAGAAGGAAGGCTACCCTGTCAACTCATAACATAACAGAGGGCATCAGGAACAGGGTGGTAGCTCTGTGGAAATGTAAAATGAAAATCTGATAAAACAAAGGCCTTGAGGGAAAAGAAGGAGCTTTATGTACCGCAACGTCGAGTCATCAAACTCTCAGCTTGCTCTCGGAGGCCATCCATCATTTACCTCCAGGTCTCCCCCTTTCTTTTCAGCCTCAGCACAGGTTGATTCCCCCCACCCCTTTGTCAGCTCCGCTGGTGTCCTTGGAGGTGGGCTTGAGAATGACTTATGTAAAATGATGCTGCACTAAGATTATCATGTTAAATGCTGTCATGAAAATATGCACATATTTGTTTATGCCAATTTTAAATTAAATTACAAATATCGTAATTCATAATAAATTGTATAATATAACATAATATAATATATTAAGAAAATTATTCTTTATCTGAGCAACTTTGCAGTCTGGTTGTCAAATATATTTTTGTTTTTGCAAAAACAAAACTATTTTATCTCCAGCCAAGCATGACATGGCTAAAGCTGTATCAGAATTATAAAACAATTAATGACCAGGTGTCAAGTTTATGCTATGATAAACACAGATTTGCAAGATCATTTTGGAAAGAAAAAAAAGTGCTGAAATCGAATGGCTTGTTGAAAAATAACTCTGAACTGTTTAGCTAAGACTATTGACTTTCGTAAGTGTTACGGAGTGATAATGAAACAAAACACATCACCTTGACAGTTCAACAGCTCACTAACTATTAGAAACATTACTGATGGTGTTTGTGAAGACATGCACAAGACAGCAAATGGGAGTTTGGATATTGAATAGACCAGATCATTGCTCAGCAAATTGAGGGAAAAAATGGATTATGCACTTGGATGAATCTTATGTCAAATTCTTAGGTGGAGTTTAAGCATGAGTGAGTGTCAATAGTGGTGATAAATGACCACATTCACTCAACGATTTGAAATAGATTCCCCTTTTTTACTGTTCCTTTTTATTATTATCATTATTTTTTTTGTTCTATAGATTTATTTTTGCAATATTGTAAACAATATACAGTAACTTCCTTACATTGTTATCATTCCTTAATTATGTTCATAATTTATGCTTGAATACATGCCATTAACTGAATGATTTGTTTTATCCTAGAACTGTACATTTCTGCCATTACTTTGAAATGGTCACTTCTGATAACAAATTACTCTTAATTTTAAAGTAGAAACATCTCCCCTAAACATCTCCTCTAAAGCTACTTTGAAACAATTATGTATTGTGAAAAGTGTTGTACAAATAAGCATGAATTGAAGTGAATACAAACTGATATCCACAGAAACCAAATGTTGAGACGTATTTCAAATAAAGAGTATTAAAGTCTTTTTGTTTACACATTTCATTTGTATGGAACATTTCCATCAAGCTGAATTAACATTTGAGTAAACTTTATATAGTGCAGACAATAATTCAGAGTAAAAATTTAAGTTAAAATTTCTTAAAATTAATGGGGAAAAATATTTTAAAACTAATTCAACACAATTCATAATTTAAAAAAATGATGTGTGGTAAATGGCAAATAAATTACATTTTCATTGGCATGAATTAATCTAATTTAATTCATAATATATTTAAATCTGTCATGGAAACACCTGCCTCACCAGCCGAATCAGCCTCCTACACCTGCTCACAATCACCTGATTACTGACCATGGACACCTGCACCCACTTACCACACCAGTCAAATACTCACTCACCTCAGTCACTCGTCGGCTGGTCTCAAGGTTACAAGCTGCTCTCTATGGGTTCCTTGCCTCCCGATCACGTCTCGGATTCCTCAGTTCTCGGCCGAAGGACCTCAGTGCCAAACTCAGATAAGACTGTGTTGTCTGCTTCCATTTATTCCTCAGTTGACACTTTTCTGTTGGAAGCTCCTCTGAATTAACTTCCCGACTTACGTTAACCTGTCTGTTTGCCTCTTTGTCCCAGATGGGACAAAATCAATCTAATTTAAACCGTTTGTGTAGAAAATTATTTTCCTTAGTGTATAAAACCATGGTCTGAAATAGATTGATGCACCAAAATAAAGTATTAAGTGACAAAAGAACGTGGTGCAAATGGCTTGGTGGAAAATACTTTTCCTGCAATTTCTTTTTGCGGTGTATCAGAGAAGGAAAACCAAGACCAATACATCCCAAAATACAACATTTTAGACTGAAAGGATCCCTGAACCAAAAAAATAAACTTAAATTCACAGTGAACCCCATGGTTTAGAAAGAGGACTAGTGAAAAACTAAAGGACTGAATCTTCACAACTGAGATACCTTTTGACTGGATTTGAGAGTAAAGATGCCTGCAAGAGGATTATGATCTTCAAAAAAAATAGCATCTGCATTCAAATTCACTGTGCAAATAGCACCAAAAGCAGGCTACATTCCAACAGGAAAAGCTCTGATTTTACAATTCTGCTTACATAATATGATATAAACACCTCAATCCAATATCTCCATTCAGGGCTAAATTGAGATGCATGTTTAATTGGGTTGGGGTGGAGGATTTGTCCCGAGGCCCGTCCTCGCATGCTTTCATATCACTTTAATCCTGTATTACCCACCAGAGCTGCTCAGGGCAAAACAAAAGACCACATTGCCCTACTGTCCTTCTCTAAAAAAGGTGCTGTAAGTTTTTGACTCTACTAAAGCATAAAAATACCATAATATGTTTGCAGATATTTAAGAAGTTAACGTACTTGTTTATCTGAAAAACAATGCAACAGTCAGTTATTCTCCTTTGAAAATATGCGTTCTGGGCCAGAATGTAGGTCTCTGTTTTGGTTTGTGAAACCCACCCACTCCCAGTTTACCCAATTGTATTTCGGGACCCAGGGTTGCCAGTTGGCGGAAAACACAGCGTATTTCAATTAATTCATCGTCAAGTGCGCCCGTTCCTGTTGGTGTCGTCAATCTGGCAGTGCGTCAAGTCTGAGGAGAATTTCCAATATTCCAATATCCACCCTCTCCAATATTTTTAATTTGGACTGCAATACCTAGTTCAACCACTCGGTGTCAATCCTACATACAGCACCTTTAAGATTATTCCAGTGTCAATGCCAACAACCAGAGAGCGAGAGAGAACGAGATAGATGGTTTTCAATTATATGACATACAACATGAAAATTCCTCTGCCCCTTCTCTCGTGTTTTTGTTTTCGTTTTGAATACTTTTGTTTTTCCGTTGTTCTCCCCGCGGTATGAGGACTGCCCTGCTGTCAAGATTGCCGGCCGCGACGTTGTCAAGCCTGTCGGCCGCGGCACACTCAAGCCCGCCGGCCGAGCCGAAGACAAGCCCGCCGGCCGGTCCAAAGAACAACCTGCCGCCCATGTCGTTGTCAAGTCCGCCGGCTGCGGCTCCCACAAGCCTGCCGGCTGCTCTAATGTCAGGACCTCCGGCCGCCCCTGAGCTCGCTCCTATGTCGGCTCCAGCCCCCGAGTTTAGCCCACGGAGGGCTCCTGTCCCCGAGTTTAGCCCAGTGAGGGCTCCTGTCCCCGAGTGTAGCCCAAGGAAGGCTCCAATCCCCATGTCCAGCCCAAGGAGGGCTCCAGTTCCCACACCTGATCCACAATGGCACCCCAAACGGGTGTCACGTCGGGTTTCCCAAAAGGGTTTCCCATCCCGTGTCTGTCCTGAGGGACCTCCAGAGCACCCTCCCCTTTGGCTGTTGTGTGGCGTGAGGATGCGCCTTCCGGGAGGGGGGAGTAATGTCAGACTCTGTTCCATGTCTTGTGTTTTGTTTTCCTCCCCCTCGTGCTCCAGTATTATTATTATGCCCATATTTGGGTTTTCCTGTTCCTCATTATAGTTCATTAGTTTCCACCTGTGTTTATTAATCATCTCTTCAGTTCCTTTGTTTGCTCCATTACTTAAACACAGGGTTTCCTAGTGTCTCGCATCCGCTGTTAAATGTAATTTTGTGTTCTGTTTTTCCCGTGTTCCCTGTTTTGTTTTCATTAAAGACTTTGGATTTTGCTTTACTCCTCGTCTCCTCCCTCCTTCGTTCCCGTGCTCCAAGTGTGAATCGTGACACCTACCTCTTTTGCACTTCTTTGCTAATATCAACATTGTCAACTGTGCAACTCTCTAATAATAATAACAAACAAAAAATAAAGAAAAAAATATAAAAATGCATGTCTAGGTTTGTCACAGTATGTGTTGGATACATTTAAATCCATTAAACAGGTACCTGGTAAACGACCCGTGCTGTCAAGACAGAAGTGAGAACCCATTAGCTCCATAGCCGATTAAGCATTTAGTCAGTTTATTTATGGATGAATAGTCTTTTTTTTTTTTTTTTTTTTTTGTTAGACTCTGACTCGATGATGATAATAATTTATTATTATTACTACTACTACTTTCATTTTGCACAGCTAGAAGCCTCATTGTGGCGGTCAGATTCTTGACTCAATTTCAATCTCAGTCTGTTGAGAATGAATTTTCACCATAGTCATCTGGCCTCTAATTACTATATTCTTTCCCATTACAGAACTAGTGTGAGATACTGTAGTGCCACCGGC